ATGGAGACAGCTACTGTGAGATCACCACCCTGACCTTGACTGTCCTTGGCTCTATATACACAGTCCGACTGTGTGGCCAGAGCCCCAAAACATGTTCAGAATATCCAACAATTTTTTATCTGACTGTGCAAATTAAATACTTTCCACACATTTTACAAAGAAAGTGAACGGGGTTCTTCACTCTCCAGCTTTATCTGAGAATTCAGCTTCGGGGAATAAGGATGAACTGCCCGCACCATTAGTTTGTTTTTGCTCAACCAACTGGTAAGGTTTAGTTGAACAAAATTAGAATCTGCAAACGTTGTTGGAATTGAGAATCCTATCTTATTCAACTCCTTCGTTTTATTCCTCCTTTTTCTTCCCTTCCTCTTCTTCTTTCCCTTCTCCCTCTCCTGCTTCTAAAACCATGATTCATCCAGAGTTTCAATCTCAATGGAAATCTTAACTTCACCACTTAAAATTAATTCAGACTACAGAGATATATAGTTAAGCAACTGGCCTGATAAAATTGCTTTTTAATTGTTTATAAGAGGTACTAGCAAATTCCAAGTTATGAAATAACCTACAATTTGTTAATAAAAAACAAAGTTTTTGAATAGCTTTAGAATGACTTAATGTTTTTGTTTTTGAATTTTAAAAAATGTACCTTACATTAAACACATATGTGCACACACACAAACAAAAGTTCTCATGTTTGTTACAATGTACAATAAGATGTTTCTACCTTGGATGGGAGGAAGGGACTATGGTTAGAGGTGTATATATATGTGCATTCCTCTCACTGACACCTGCGCTGTTTGTTTAGGACTGAGGAGTTCACTTGTCACCTGATATGTTAATAATAATACCAATGATAATAAGAATAGTAGATATTTAAGTAATTAATAAGTTCTAGGCAGTTTACAAAAGTTCTCTAATCTAATGCCTGCAACTACTTAATGTCTGGCAGTATTACCATCATTTTATGGATGAAGAAACTGCAGTGAGCCGTAGAGCTGAAATTCATACCGTTGGTTGTTGACTTCTCTGAAAAGCATCCACTGGGAGCCTTGTATTTGGATACCTTTCCAATAACCTACTTAATGGTCTTCAAAAACAGATTCCTGACAACCCATCCATTCATTCCCCAACAAACTGGATTTGAGGTGGGAGAGCCTCATTTATTTAGACAATCACATCTTGCTAACAAGTATTTGAAAATAATTATGCCCTCTGAAGTTTACCTATTCTCCTCAGTAGAGTAAAAATTAAGGAAAGAAGCCTGCGGAGGATGACAAAAAATGAAATTAGGCAGTTCTAATGAATCATATTTTATCAGGATAGAGTCAACTCAACAAATACACTAGCTAGCCATGTAGAAGGCATGTGTAGAATACACACAGGAATACAGTTGTCCTACCCTTGAATAGTTCATTACCATTGTTGAAAATAAGACAACAGGCTTAAAATGGAGTCACTTAGCTCCAGGTTACCAAACTGAGACTTAATTATAGTATTGGCTTTCCCAGAAATGGAATCTTAAACCAGTCAGTCAGGAATCTCCTGATCAACACTAGTTATACAATCTGCCTGACAGACCCCTGCTGTCTTCCAAGGAAAAGTGACCTTGCAGTAATGAACTCAGTTTTTTGCCTAGTATAACCTCCTTGTTTCTGCTCCCTTCTGCCATAAAAGTCTTTCTGTTGGCACAGCTCCTCGGAGCCCCTTCCTGTCTGCTAGATTGGACACTGTGTGATGAGTGAATCATTGAATAAAGCCAACATAATCTGTAAAATTTACTCAGTTGAACTTTGATACCATTAATCTGAAGAGACAGATATGTACACGATTAGTGATGGTAAATGTAGGATCACTAACGCCGTTATTTACTGACCACCAAGTATGTGTTACCATCTAAAAACCACACACCAACTCTAATTATTAGCCTCCTTTTATACACGTAAAAGCAAAGGGTAAGAGACTTGTTTAATATCAGACCATTAGTAAGTAGGGAAACCTTGTTCATCCCAAAGGGAGCTTTACAGGAAAACTGGTCCCCTGGGGCTACACAGCCTTCTCTGAAAGAGACTGGGACAGGTGCTGCAGAAAAAGGTAGAAGATCGAATTCCAAGCTTATCAAACACAATTGTAATACATGAACCACTCCTAATGAAAAATAAGTGATCCTGATGTTAACCATTAGTCTCCCACACTTTGCTGGAATGACAAACTGACTAAATATGCACACTGGACTTGGTATTCCAAACACATGAGCCGAGACCATGTAGATTCGATTGCAGCGCGCAGGGCTCTTGTGGTCCTGGGCACCTATTACTTACAGCCCCAGAGAACACCCCGTACACCCAGAGGGTCACTGAGGTGTGAGGAAGAAAGACGTTCCATGGGAAGCAGAGATGTGAAAAGGGAGAGAAGAGAAAGGAGGTGGTCTTGACCTATCGAGATGGCTACCTGCCATCTTCCCAGTGAACTCCGACTCCTCAGGAACTACTCTCAGGCTCAGACGTCCTTGGAACCTACCATGCCTGAAGGTAGGGTTTGCAAAACAGCTGTCTCCAACCCTTAGAAGAAGTTTTCTGGGTCAGCGTAACATTGTAAAAATAATAATTTAGACATCACTTAAAGAGGGTTTGCCATTTTTAATCCCCCTGTCTCCATATTAGCTTATAGTTGGCCAAATTTAGGCTTTAAGCCCAGTCTCTGTAGAGTCTGTTATAAACACTGCTTTGAAGTCTCTGCAAGTACAACTTAAACACAAATAAAATGATCTTCCCAATACACTGCTTGAGCCATAGTGATCTATCCCTGTTGAGCAAGAATCAAATGGAGGTTTTATCAAAAGCCACAGAGATGTACAGTCTATACACACGCTCATTCTACCTCTGGGGATTCAGCCACCAAAGCACTTTGGCTCTAGGTGGTCACATTTAGTGCCAAAAGCTTTTAGGAGCAGAAAAGGAGCCCGGAGCTATTCTCAGTGAATGCAGACCAAGAGGTCAGCAGGGAAATATGCAAAGAAGTGATCATTATCGTCATTCCTAAAACCCACAACTGAGTGTCCTGGTGGAGGTGAATGAGTAAGGGCATGGAAGGATGCCAGTTTCCATGCCGACTACAGAGGCTGTTCAATAGGCCACTTACCACTGGCTAGTAAATGAGTGAGGAGCCTGCACCATAACCCCAAACACCTCCAACAGGAGAATTCATTCTTCCCTAAATCCATACCTGTACTGTCTTTTCTACCAAAAACAAAACCAAAAAAGGAATTAGTTTGCCTTAGAGACACTGTATTAGAGTTAGGGTATTTCTAGCTGACTTACGAACCATTCGATGTAGTCGTAACCAAAGTTCTACAAAAAGTGTATCCATTAGCAGGAATAGTGCTTGGTATTTTAAGGGAAAAAAGGTCCTTCACTAAGCCTATCCATCATCATTCCAACATGCCAAGCCTGCTTTGTCCATGAACAGCAGAGAAGAGATGCACCACTGGACACATTAAAAGAAAGAAATGTAGAAACCAAAGGGTCACACTTCAATTTTAATGCTGAGCAGCACTGTGTGTTTGCAATAATGTAAATGTTGCTTGATGGATTATTTTAGGATTAAAACTGCAATCAGTGTCACCTCATGCTATTTTTTCATTTATTCTGATGTAGAATTCACTTAGTGTTTAATAACTCACTGTAGTGTAAAAATAAAAAAACAAAACTAAAAACAACCACCCACATCAGCTATAAAAAGCAAGGTTTTTTTTCCATTCAAAATTTAACATAAGAGGGGAGCAAAAACACAGATTGACTCCATTCATAGCGCTGTGTTCTATTTTGATATCCATACTTTGAAAAGGGCCAGAGTCAAGTTGAATGGGGATAAAATGTGTTTGTGGGAAAACAAAAGGCATCATGCTATGAACATGAAGGATTCATGGATTTCTAAGACAGCAAATAGGTAAAATTATCCCAGTGTCTCCCTGAGCTTAACTCATTACTCATCGTTCTCACTCCCCATGGCTTTGTAACTGATTGTCATCCCCACCAGATTATAAACTCCAGGGGTTCAAGAACCCTGTCTGTCCTGCCCACCTTTGTAGCCACAACACCTATCGGAGCGTCTGACGAGCAGGACCTTTCTAGTGTCTTATTAATGACCACGTGAGTAAAGCAGACACCTGACGGCGTGTGACTGGAATTAACGACGATGTAGATTTTGACTCAATAAGAGGCTGAGCAATTTCCCCCAGTCAGAACCACTTAGAGTTGGGGATGGCGGCTGGCGTGTTGTAGGAGAGAGGTGAGATCGCGCGTTAGCACGAGCATAGCAGCCAGTATGCAACGCTGGGGTGCGTACTGAGGCTTTACGATCTTCAAGAGGCTGGCTACCCCTGAGGCTCTATGATCATAACACAGACCCTTCCCCAGTTTGGATCAGAACTTAAACTAAAACCATTCAGACTCTTCTCTGGGGTTGGAATTACACAGACAACTTTTTGAACCAAAGATGGTCAACTCTCAACTGCCTTTTTTTTTTTTTTTGGCTGTACATTTATCCTACTTTAGCTGAATCAAAGGTAAAACTGCTTTACTATCAACTATTTTACTTTTTCTATTTACCATGCTTCCTTTCAAAAGGTGTGGACCCGTTCTGCGTGGAGCCCTGGGTGTTATATGCAAACAGTGAATCATGGAACGCTACATCAAAAACTAACGTTGCAATGTATAGTGACTACCATAACATAAAAAAAAGAAACAATGGTAAAGGTTAAAAAAATAAAATAATAAAAGAAAAAAAAAAAGGTGTGGACCCAAGGGTTGACTTAATCGATCCACAGTGGTGTTCCTTACAGAAGAAAGCTTTACTGTGTTGGCTGTAGGGTAGGAACACAGCATACCACCGAGAATTAATGAAGTTCACCCTCACACCACTGCATTTAATCACAGAAGATATCTTCATACTTCATGAAACCAGTGTCTGCTTTTAATCACAGGGTGGTTTAGGCTACTTACCACAAAAGAATAATAAATCTTGAATCCAGGTTTAGCCACAAAGTAGTCATCAGACTTGAATGTTATTTTAATTTGGTTTGTTCTTGATGTTATCCTTGGAGGAACTTCCTTGTGTCCACACCACCGTCCTCTAATTATGGTACTGGTTTCAGATACATCTTCAACTTCCACAAAATCATACCTAGTTTCAATTTGACATAAATAAATGTGTTTTGATTATAGTAGACTTTGAAATTCATACTTCTACTCAGAAAGTAAAACTAACATATGTGACTTCTCATGACCTACTAACTAAAATGAAAATTAAAGCCCGCTGAAATTTTGAAAGGAAACCTAGTTTTTTGGATTAAGTTTTTCAAATTCAAACTTCAATAATCTGAAAGAACGCTGTGCACATTTAGCCACGAGTACTCCCAAATCATCAGTAATTAAAATGGGCCACCTTCTGAGCATAAGGCTTGTAAGGGTTTCCTAGGAGAACTAGTAACTACAATCTATTGTCATCTATTGTCCTATTTTTGGAGATATAGCTCTAATTATATGTCCAAATATTTACTATATAAAGTTTTTCAAACAAATTCCCACTTTGAATTAATTCATCACATTCAGTGCTTCCTTAAGAAAGGACCTGTATCTACGCAGCATATGGAATCAGCAACACATTACATCATCCCATTATAGAAAATACATGGTAAAATAAAATAAATCAGTATTTTCTCTTTTTGGAAACTGTCTTTTGGAAGGATCATATCATAAAATAGGACAGTTTTCATAGTAAAAAGCATTATGACTTTGGGGAGGGATGTGCCCTAACCATTACTGGAAATATCTGGGATGCTTAAACCAGTGTGTGAATATGCTAAAGACCATAGTTTCAGCTCTGACTTTGGGCAGAGAAACACAGAATGCCAAGGTTAAGGACAGGGGACAGTCCCTCTCTGAATGTCCCATATAACCTTTCCACCACGCAGTAGAACATCTTCAGTGACAGCGTACGTCTTCTAGGGATCATCTCCCTTATTTTCAGACACCCCAAATCTTGGGACAGTCTACTTGGTGAGCTGAACTACCTGACCTTCAGGTCTGGGCATCAGTCTCTGCCTCTCCCCAAATGGCACGGGATGCTAAAGTCACGATGCAGAGGATGAGCACTTAGGGTGAGGAGCAGCTGCAAGCTCAACGCACCGGGGATTTTCTGTCGCGACTGCCAAAAGGAATCAGCGTGAGAAACATCACAGGTGAATGTGAAGGAAATCCACCACAGAGCTCTTATCGAATCGGGGAGGGTAATCTCAGGAGTGGGTGAACTTATCACACACTATCCAACTTATCACGCACCCAACTTATCCAATATCCGTATCATGACTACCTTTCATTGAAGTGACTCACAAGTCCCTTAATTCCTTTGCCTCAGTTTCCTTATGAGCAAAATAAGAGGTTTATACAAACTTACTAGCTGGATATCTCTAGGGTGTGGTGTAAATTAATTACTTAATGTTTTTATGGTGCTTGGAAGGTGAAAAGCACTCACAAAGAATCATTATTCAAGCAATAAAATATTACAGTGTAAACATCAAGGAGGCTTTGGAACAGATGGTAGGAAATCAACTGCATTTCATTTTATATACAATATGCGGTAAATCATAGTTACTGCACAAAGCATGAGTACACTTGAAACTGTTAATAACACCATAGGTTACTTTCATTTTTTTTTTTTTTTTTTTAAACACAACATCAGTGTAATTTTTACTCTGGATGAAGTCAAGAGAGCATCACTTTAATTCTTCGGGAGGGTCTGAGGCTCTGATGTGTCTCCTTCCCGCATTCCTCTCCCTTTTCCCACATCATACACTTCTCTACCTGCCTCCATAAATTTGGGGAAGCAACTGGATTTTGATGAAGGGCCCCGAAAGGAAACCACCCTAGCATCTTCTGTTTTCAAGGCCTGGGTACTGAAAGAGCTCCCTCCCTACCAGGATCAAAATCCCAGCTCAGCAGCAGAGACCCGCCTTCCCGTCTGGGTCATCATCACCGCCTACAGTCTCCAAAAAAAAAAAAAAAAGGTCTCCCACCATCTCTTTTTCCAGCACAGAAAATGAGTTCTCCCTTTCAGTGTTGAAAAGACAGGAGATCTGCTTCAGTTTGTTCTCTTTGTAAATATTAACGGCCTCTTCTGCCTGTATTTGTCTCTGATTTCTGGCAAACATGACCCTCTGCGGTCCTAGAAAGTAATTGTCACTGCTGTTATTCTTGAAAACAACAGCCACGTAATAAAAGCTGTCAGCATAATAAACATGCAACAAAGGACAGCCAGATTTGAGGCACCCTCTTTTTCTGAGCCAAAGGGAAATAAGGCTGCCGAAAGGATTTAGCCGTTGGGCAGGGCGTCGGCAATGGAGAAGGAGTGCCTGCGGTGAGGTACCGGAAGGAATCAAAACCCTCCCCAGCCTAGTGTGTGCTAATTAGGTGAATATGATGCTGGGCGCAGACCATTCAAGGAACAGCCAGGACTTTCTCCAATAAATACGCTTGGAAGGGAGAAGATTCTCAGGCACAGTTTTTGTCGACCGCTGACCCAGGAAGGACGGGAAACAGACGGTGTGCGGGGCTCCCAGAGCCTGGGGCTGACAGATGTGAGGCCTGAGGTTTCAGGGTGCAGCCAGGATCCGGGCCTCGCCATCACCCTCCCCCAGCGTGCGGGGGGCGATCAGGACTATGCACCCGGGACGGCTGCCTGGCTGAGCTCCCCGGAGCCGAGCAGAGGGGAGCCGGGAGCAGGCTTGCACCAGAGCCACCGACGTGGCTGTGGGTGATGTGGGACACTGGATGCGTCTACCTGCTCACAAAGGCTGCTCGGGTCCTGGCTGGAGCGAGGCCTCCGGGGGGGCCCCCTTCTCTGGCAGTTGTGGGCCTGCATTTCCGGGAGAGGCACCAGGTAAGCAGGCCCTCTGCAGAGGCCGTGGGCACTCCAGTGTGTTCCATCCGCCAGGACGGACAGACGCAAAGGCTTTTTGGGGAAAGGAGGGGGGACGACACGCCTCGGGTAGGTCCTCGGGGCCTCCCCCAAGGGAAGTCTGGTGTGATGCCTTAAATCCATCTCTTCTTCACCTGGGAAGTGTGCCCCTGAAAGGGATTCTCCCCACTTACCTACAGATATCATTTTCGGCTTCCTCCAAGCCAAACTGGTGGTCGAAGGCAAGCTGTATCCTGGTTTTCTCCTGGGACTGGAGCCGCCACGTCAGGAGCAGGTTCCTGGGGTAGCTGTTGGGGAAGCGAGGGCTCTGCACGTGGCCGTGTCCTGTCACCTGGATGGTCTCGTCTCTTCGGTACAAGTCTGTGAGGTGATTGCTCTCTGTTAGTAGTCACAACTGGTAGAAATTAGTATGTTGCTCCAATTACAAGAAAGCAAACAAAGAACAGTTTAAAAACATCACATTAACGTTAAAGCACGTCTCTTGATTTTTGTCTAACAGCAGAAGGCCAAACGGCAGCCTTCCGGTTAAACAAGCAACATCCACATTCCTTCTACGACCCCCCACCTCCCCAGCCGCTGTAGACCCACACTACCTGCGAAATATTTTGTACTTGGAGAGCTCCTTTAACATAATTTGTGACAAGGAAAATGAACAGTTATCTCAGAACTCGGGTTCATTCAGATCAATATGAAAATAAGTAAATAATTTCAAATAGTTCCTCCTTCCATGTAATAAAAAAATTTTTTTCTTTCTTTTTCTCTTTACCCTGAGAGCATCACGGCACAGCTTCAGTGGTGAGCACAGGTCGGACTCAATAAATATTGTTGCATGAATGGACAAGTGAACGAAACACATAAAAGAATCTCACGGTGCTTAGTGACCACTTATTTGTAATTCAAACATTTCCCAGTGGTTTCTCCATCATAAAAATCATTATTTCTTTGCCTTCGTTTTTGGTGACTTAAAGGCCCGATTCTGTTTTTGTTTGTTTGTTTGTTTATTTGAGAGAGAGCACGAGAAGGGGGAGGGGCAGAGGGAGGAGAAGCTGACTCCAAGCTGAGCAAGGAGCCAGACGTGGGGCTTGATCCCAGGACCCTGGGATCACGACCGGAGCCGAAGGCAGATGACTGGGCCACCCAGGCGCCCTTAAAGGCCTGATTCTTATTCTATTTTCTGTGTGTTGTATCATAAAGAGTTTGTCTGGTCTTTGTCCTGGGTCCCCTAACAGGGAACCGCTATCCCCTTAGAATTTTCCAGGTGACTGAAGGGTCTTTGTTATTCATGGTGGGCCCTGGGGACCACACCTGAGTTTACACTAATGAGGTGATTAGCCAACGAGCGCGGGCCGTGGGCCCCTAAACAGTTTCAGGACGGTGGCTGGCTATAGAGTAAGACCAACCCTGTGGTTACAGGGTTAGAGCCTGGAGCCCTGACATCAGCCTGACCTCCCCATCTCCCTGGAGGAAAGGGGCACTGGGGACTGGGTCCAGTCGTACTGTCAGTGATCCTATCAGTCACACCTGCAGAATGAAAGCCCGATAGAAACCCTGGTCCCAGAGGCTTGGGTCAACTTTCTGGTCAGTGTACACACGGATGTGCTAGGAGGTGACGCGTCCTGAGGACGTGAAAGCTTCATGCTTGGGACCCTCCCAGACCTCATCCCAGGTGTCTCTTCATCTGGCTGGTCCTGATTTGTACCCTGCACAAACTTAACAGTAAAACGATAATTGTAACGATAGCGCCTTCTTGAGTCGTTAAGTCGTCCTCGCAAATTATCAAACCCGATGGGTTTATGCGAAACCCTGAATCTACAGCCAGTTGGTAAGAAGTATGGGTTGACTGGTAGCCCCTCCCAATCTGCAGCTGGTGTCTGAAGTGTAGTCTCGAAGGCGTTGTGCCCTTCCCCTGTGAACTCTGACCTCACTCTGGGTAGGTCTGTTGTTTTTTCTTTCCCAATATCCAGAGCTCTTTGCATTTTAGATTTTGGCTGTTCAGACCCTGCCATTAGTGGACCTACTGCCACAGCCTATTTGCGTTCTCCCGCAGAGAGTTTACTTTGAGGCCCTCTAATTCAGCAAGCCTGGTCAGGGAGGCTTAAATTGCTGGTGGAAACCACCGGAAGGTGGGGTTGCCCAGGGTGGCTGGCAAAGTGTCCCAAATAACAGAGGAAGGAAGAGGGAAGAAGCAAGTGACATGCAAAAGCTTCTCTCCCTTTCACAAATGTTCTTGTGCGGACAGGAATTACAAAATATATATATATAGTTTTTACTTGTTCAGTGTTCAACGTGTTGCGCTTGCCTAGTTCGATTCTGCATGGGGGAGAGTGCTGGAGGATCACAGGGGGCTGACAGGAGCTCTTCTCTGGAAACCAGGACATGAGTGACAGCTCTGGGGCTGTGGCCACCTCCAGTGAGCTCAGCCACGCACGGCCTCCCGGGTGCCAACAGACAACGTCTCCCGGCTGACCCTTCCCTCCTCTCCTCCCCAGACCTTATGCTGAAAATGCAGCCATGAGAATTACCGGTCTGCTCATTTGGTCATAGGGGGCTTATAGGAAACGAGTGAGGGCTGTTTGTTAGGAAGAGAGATATGAACAATCAGCCAATCAATAATCATTTATTAAGTACAGACTGTAAACATAATGTTTTGCAGTGTTTTCAAAGGTAAAAGTTTTACCTTTACCATTGGTGCCATATTTCCTTGAGTACAATTATTTGCTTAATATTTCTCTAAATTAAATTTTTTTAGAGAGAGAGAGCATGCCTGCACGCGCAAGTGGATGGGAGGGAGGGACAGAATCCCAAGCAGACTCCCTGCTGAGCGGAGCGCAAGGCGGGGCTCGATCTCAGGACCCCGAGATCAAGAAATCAAGAGCTGAAATCAAGAGTCAGATGCTTAACTGACTGAGCCACCCAAGAGCCCCTCTAAATTAGTATTTTTAATCAAAAGCAAATGTATTGTAAAATAAAACTTTGTATCAATATAAATAGCAACTAGGTAACCACTTGCCATGAATAGAAGGTACCGGTAAGTCTAAATATATAACTACTACATTTAAAGATATGCATCTGAGGGGTTCACATTGCTCATTTATCAAATAAGGAGTCTGAGCGGCTTGTTTTCCATCTGGTCTCCTTTGGGGATAGTATTCAGCGGTTGTGTGTTTTTGAGATTCCAGATGCTATGTTACGTTTGGCTCTAATTTCAGAGTGCTTCAAGAATAGTCCCTGCGTCTGTGGACCTGAGAAACACAGCGGCCGCACACCTCGCACACGTTCGTAAGCCACGCACAAGGAACGGGAAGCACTGGGTGTAAGGCCCTGGCTGCTCGAGGCCGGGAGAGATAACAGGGCTACGGTGAATACAAGGCGGGTGCATGGGATTCTGTGAAGGCATCTGCAAAACACCAGATCGAAGCGGAGTCCAAGCGGGCCCAAGTGCGACACGGGCAGGTGGGGGGACCTGCAGCTTTAAAGGTAAGTGACAGACACTGCTGAGAGCCAGGCAGAAGCACCTGCACTTGAAAGAAGTGGACACAAGAAGGCTCTGCAAAGGGCCAAGGCTTGGGGGCGCTGAAGAAGATGAACGGGGAAGAGCACCTGCTGGGGGAACATCTCCTAGGTTCTGACCTAGAAGGGTGGGGAACAGTGAGGCCGCGTCAGGGGAATAAACCAAGCAGAACTTGCAGTTAAAGAAAGGAATGCAAAGGGCTGAGTCAGAGGTAGCAGCCACCGGCTGATCCCAAGGCCTGAGCGCCGTGTGGTGACGCTGCAACCCTGGGAGCTGAGTTTCGATGTGGTGAGAAGGAATTCCGGGGCAAACCTCAGCAGGCTTCTGGGGACAGGACCTAGACCTGCACTGGGACAACACAGAGGTATAGCGAGGGTCGGGAGGGCAAACAGGAGCCTTGGGAACACAGCCCTCCCAGGACTTGGGCTCTGGCACACATGCCTGGGGAAATCAGGAACAGGGACCCACAGCAGTGCGGGTCTACCCCAACTGCCCAGGAAAGGGGCAGGTGCAAAAACTCAGCGGTCAGTACTGTCCAGTGCAGGAGCAAGACCAAGGGACAATGCACTGAGAAAAGACCACAGAACTTGGCCGTGGCCAAGTCCATGACACGGTGTACAGAGTTCTGCAAGAAAGGGACTGCTTTTTGACTAGAACATCATTAAAGGCTAGACTGTCTTCAAAGTACTAACTCAGGTTATACATGAAATGCCTATTTTATATAGATAGATAGATAGATTTTATGTATTTATTTGAGAGAGAGAGAGAGAGTGAGAGAGAGAAAAAGCATGAATGAGGGGCAGAGGGAGAGGGAGAAGCAGGCTCCCCACGGAGCAGGGAGCCTGATGTGGGGCTCGATCCCAGGACCCCGGGATCACGACCTGAGCTGAAGGCAGACACTCAACCAACTGAGCCACCCAGGCGCCCCGAAATGCCTATTGTATTTTTAAGAAAGTTCTGGTGGGGGTGGAGTGGGAGGCTTTCCTTCTTACCTAAACATAGTTTAGGTAAGACAAAACTGTATTGAACTCTACTAACCTGAAGGCAAAAAAAAAATTTTTTTTTTCTCAAGTTTTGTGATTTATTTTCCCTTAAAAATCAAAATCCTGCCAAAATACACACATACACAAATATGAATACCAGCAATCCCTTGGCTAGGGCACATTTTGTGCCAGGCATTACTCCAAGCACTTTGCATGTTTCCTTTAGAGGACAAACTCTTTCCATACAGGACCGTGTGTGTTCGCGTGAGCTCTGTAACAACCCGCCAAGATAGATATTCTTATTACCACTCTGCAGAGGAAGAATCTCAGGCACAGAGAAGTCAAATAATTTATTTAAAGTCACAGAGCAGGTAAAGGGTGGGGTCAGAAGAAAAAGCCAGCAATCTGGTCCCAGGCTTGATTCTTTTAACCCCTATGCCATAGAAGGTGTTCTTCCTTCTGGGTCTGAAATGCGCTAGAGGCAAGTTTATTTTATTTATTTATTTAATCTTTTTTTTTTAAAACTTCAAATCAATTAATTACCATACAGTGTATTATTAGTTTCAGAGGTAGAGTTTAGTGATTCATCAGAGGCAAATTTAGATTCTTTGCTATCTGTAATCCACTTTGACTTCTGAGTCACACTGTTTACATATAATTTATAACTTCGTGCCGACTCAGGGCTATTCTTAGCAGAAGAGTTAATAATGAATTACAGTACAGACAGCAACATATCAGGCTTAACCTGGGATTACTACCAAGTATTATATATAAAGTCACACTTGCAAATGAAATCATTCACTTTGGTGTCCAATAGCAGCTAACATTTATGGAGTAATTACGATGTGCCAGGCACTCCAGTAAGTTTAAATATGCTACTTCAC